GGATCAAAAATGCTTGCATCTAAAATCGCACGACCATTGTGTGTGTGTGTGTGTGTGTGTGTGTGTGTGCGTGTGTCTGTGGGCGGGGATGGGTGAGTGTGCCTCAGTCCCGAAGAGAGTGAGTGGTGGCAATATTTTCATTTATAGACTTCCAGTGAATCACAGAGGTTGTCCTTGAACAGTGACGTGTTGTGCCAATGGGGAGAAAAGTTCTTTGCGTACGCAAAAATGCAAAATACTAACGTTCAACACCTACAGGTGACGCTTAAATACAGAACTGTGTTGTAGTAGGCTAAGGTCGAACTCGATCTATACTATATATACTATATCTATACTAAACGGATGGGTGAAAAATTAGTGAACTCTATCAGAATCTCTCTCTACCGCTCTGTCTTCCAAACCTCCGTGTCTTGTGCAAGCAAAAACATTCAGAGAGATGGAACCGTAGGATTTAGGTATTTCATAACTACTTAAAATCTACTGAGCTTGGTTGCATGCATCGCTTTGCGATCCGGTGGAGCAGGGAATGATCACCTGATCGTATCTTATCGAATCGCTAACCAAAACTAATGAAAAAGATCCCAGCTGAAGGAAGATACGCGAAAATGTCAGGTAATAATAAAGAGTGGTTCACTTTAACACAAAACGTGGATTGCAGCAGCTAAGCAATCATTTGAGTATTGGCTCTTTGGTTCACACACACACACACACACACACACACATACACACACACGCACACACACACACCCACACAAAGAATTTGAGTTGTGGTTGTTCTCTGGCCGGTCAGTATCAGTTTGGATGGTTTATCAGCCTCGGTCGATGAGCGAATTCTGCAAGGTGGATATCAAACACATTGGGCATCAGATCCCATCGGTTATGGGTCGAACAAGTACTGAATTTGGGGGGGGAGGGGGTGTGTGACTTGGATGAATCCAACCATTTCGATTGTTCATTGCGAAGACAGACAAATCATGGACACAACAACTGACAAGATATTTTCAGTATTTGGTCGTATATCATTTTTCAGACAAATAAAGGCTACATTCACCATGACATTCGACGTCCGTGGCTTTGGATGATAGGCGGCGATTGGGGAAAATCTTGTCATTATCTCTCCGGTACATGTCGGTACGAATTGAATTAAAGTTTAATCAACTATCGTATCAGTTCATCACATCCGTCAGTAGTATCGATTGCATCGATTTCGTGGCATCTTTTTTCTTACACTTCCCGTCAATNGAATCAATTGGTCCACGTCGTTAGTGGACCGTGCAATACCAATACTACTCACAAAAAAAGGCTTGCCAGATCGGGACACGACAGGTTTACCAGGTCACACGTACAATCCTCCGATTTCGATCATCCCACCGCCCACACCCCCTATCGGCCACAATGTGTCCTCATGTTTTACCACTATTCGCACACATCTCGACCGCCTGTACAACAAATGACCCGGAGGAGAATTTCACTCCAATGAATCTTGATCAGACTGTCCGGGGGGCACAAAGTTGGACGGTGCAATTTGGAATGGAAGCTTTCGAGGGATTCCTTATGCGGATCTGATTGATCGCCTGGGAATGTGATTGCAAAATTTTATCAGTCTTTCCTTTCTTTGAGGAAAAATGACAGCGATCCCCAGTCGGAAATAGGTATAGTGGACCCCAAACTCCCAGCCTTTGATCTAATTTACCTAGAAGAAGAACGAATGATCGAAACTGAGTTACTATAGATTAATACCATTGATTAAAGAAAGTCATTACTTTCAGAGTCGATTTAAGCCTGTTGGACGGTATTTCAACACCACCAGCAGCAAAGATGGCCATTCACACCAGGTGTCACCGAGGTGGACAAATCGGTGTGATTTTGATTGCCTACGATCTTATTCGAAATGCTTGAGCAACAACAAAAACAACAACAGCAACAGCAACAACGACAATTCCGATTAAAGACACAAGGAGAAATCTCAAATCTCAATCCACATGGATGCTGAGAATCACATCTCCAAAATGGACGACGAAAGAATAATCGTAAGAGGAACCACAAAGTCAATGCGAGAATTCATCGAAGCATGGCACTCCAGGAGGGACTGTATGAAAAAACATAAAACTGGAACCCATCTATCATTGCCTAAGAAATCACTGGTGACCCAATGCTGTCCCAGCTAAAACCGACCCAGAGCCAGTTCTAACCAGTTTGAAACCGGTTTAAACCAGTTTACGGTTGGTCCAAGAGTCAGTCAACCAATGAGGAACGAGAGGGGCGTCACCATGAAAACGACGCAGCCAATCAAATCACAGCAAACGGTCACAACTTGCAAATAAGATTGAAGAGACGCAAACGGCCAATCAAAACCCTCGAACAGAACAATCTAAGCACGGTCACACTGAGAACTGGCACTTTCCCGAAGTTTCACTGATGATGTTGCCTAGTCTGGCTGCGAAACATCCGCGAACAACACTTCCAGCTGGCAGAACACACCACCAACAACATTGAGAGTTGCTATGACATGGTCATCCAAAGCGATCTGAATACAATAGTAATCAGCAACCTCCTGCATTTTTCATGACAAAGTCCTCGATGATTCCTTCCTTCATGTCACTTCTCTATGCGCACTCGCTTGCTGTTCAAACGCTACTCATTGATCACCTACAGTGCTGCGTTTTATTTGACTTACGAAGGGACTCATTCGTCATGAGCTCGGGTTCAGTGGTGAATGCAAATTTGGCATGTTTGCAGAGTACTAGGCTCATGTTCCAAGGATACACATTTCAAAAGCCATCAACTGGATCGGTTGAACATGTCGGGCGGTTATTTCTTCGTCTGGAAACTACCGAGATAACCGGAAGGTGTGTGCGTGTGTGTGTATGTGTGTGTGTGCGTTAAATCCCATCTGATTGTGTCATTTTAATCGCTCCTCGTAACCATCTTCCGTTCGTGCAAAAACATATCAACGATTTCTGGGAGAGAAGATTGCCGCCCGGTACCCGGGTGACACACTGAACAACATCTACTTACGTAACATGAGGGTCCGGCAACTCGTTCGACCCATGGGTGAATTGGCCTCATTCACATGGCCCAAGGTTGGACTGTTGTAAACTGGACGTATTTGCACATCATAAACCGTATTGGCTTCCAGTTCATCGATAACCAAACTGTACTGAGGCTGCGGTAGTTCCGATCCACCCAAACCCACGTGACCCAAGGTAAAATCACCCGGCCCGGTTGGCGACAATGAGGAATCGAGCATGGCCGATGAAACTTCCAAAGCACGTGGTTCGAAATGAACACGATGTGGCTGATTGTTCTCGTCTGTGTATGACTTGGAACCGAGAAGTTGAATCTGTGGGGTTAAATAAGGGAGAATTTGGAGTAGGTCAGTGATGGATTAATTGGTCAATCTCATATCTCTGATTATTGTGGACAAAAACCTCCGAAAGAACGATTACAGTTTAGTGAGTGACACAGAAGCCAACACGACTATATGGAGTGACTGTTGTTCGTAAAATCGGACTAGGCTTTCTCTCTCCCCACCCACTCCATCCTA